ATGTTTATCTGTAAGAACTATACACTATTTCAGAAAATACACCTATTTCCCAAGAATAAAAATAAGTTTTCAAAACTTTTTTGTGGCACATTTGATGTCATGTTTTGCTAAGAAAACAATTCTCCTCACTGAACAATCCCTCAAGTTACACAAGAAATGTTTGCCCCACACATCTTTGGCAAAATTGACCTCTGAAGTTCTAAAATACAAAATATTGATCTTTTATTAAAGCAAACAAGCTTTAGAACTCCAGGAGATGATCTAGAGATGATCCATCCTGCATTTCACCTCTTATACCTACTAAAATGGGAGAGTGAAGTACAACACACATTTGCATCTGACAAAGACTGGACCTAAACCTACAGCATGTTGATTTACAGACATCAAAATCCTTGCTTAAACAAAGGTTCCTTCTGTTACCATGCATTTTAAGTGAATTTTAAAAATTAAATTATTACAGGCCCCATTTTGCTACAAACTGAGAATGTGCACATTCTTTAGCAGATTACTCACAAGCATGGTTAGAAGTAATGCATATAAAATGGCTAATGGCAATGCTACTCATTTTTTATTTACTACACAAATAGAGCAGACTAAAAATGAGCATAAGGTCCTGCAGGGCAAACTCTGTGTTCTGTAGATATAAAAAAAAACATTGCTCATTAAGAAAAAAAATCTGATGCAGTAGCTACATTAGAGAACAGTTAAGTGAGTAAAGAATGGAAACATACATCAAAATACAACGATTTCATATTTTCTAGGAAAAATCAACAGTGATACTGATGTTATAAGTCTCCTATTTTTCATTTAGTAGGTCTCAACACTGAATTATTAACAGTGGGCCACTCTACATCAGTCAAAAAGACTGAACACGAGACCTTTTGCCTGAGGTTAGACTCTGAGACACTCCAATCAGCACATTTAAACTCTTAAATATGATGTTGCCTTCAGTATTTTTTCTATCTAGCTTCAAGAGCAATTTATGAGCTTATGAGAGACAGATGCCCAGAGAGAAAAAATTGACCTGTCTTTTTCACAGGACGTGCGAACTTCAAGAACCTTGAACCTTTCTAATCCATCAACAAAATTCTTGTCTTCAGTTGCCAAATGGGTATTTCTAATATAAAAATAAAAGCCACACACAATATTGAGACTAACAGCTCAATAACGAGACAGAATTCCATCAGAATACCTATACAAATCAGAATATTCTATGTGTATATACCTGTATGTGTATATTCACTCAAGCAACCGAGAAAGAACACATGTAACAGAAACAGCATCAGCATTACAATGAAACCTCTCCAATGGAGAGTTTACCCAGTTTGTTACAATAACAAAGTAGCACAGGTGGGATAAGCAATTAAAAATCATTTTTAAAAATACTTTTAAAAAGAAATAATGTTTGCTAAAGAAGATATAAGAGACTACAAAGCAAAAGATTTTCATCAAAGTTAACTTTTTGTAATGGCTGCTGATGTGCTAATTTAAATGTTTTTCTTGAGAATTATATTGTTCATTTTGGAGATACAGTCTCTAGTTTATGTGGAATACAGAGTTAAAACCTTACTTTCTAAATAGTAACAATGGTAAAATATATTTGCATATTTCAAAAGGTCACAGCCTACTTTTATTACCAGCTGTACATACTGATAAATCCCAGCTCCAGTTAGAGGTGAGCAAAGCATGTTTGACTGGCTTCTATATTCTTTATGTGTCTCCATGTGTACCCAAGAACTGAATACTGCAGTGTATACACATCTACAAAGTAACAGTGATCCACCAGGCTTCAACATTTTTTACCAAGGAGAAAGCAATCCCTGAAGTAGAGATGCAATAATATGTCCTCTAAGCATCAGAGCTCTCTATCTGATGAAGAGGTTGTCAGGACTGAAGGGAAACTTATATGCTTAAATTACCACAACAGAATTATCATATCTTTTAATCCTTAACACTAGACTGCTCACAAAATATCAAATGGTTTTTCAGGGAGTTGCTCTCTTTCCCTCTCATGTAGTTTCCCCTATAGCAGGTAACTCAATAACGTGCCAGCTCCAGATATCTACTCCATGCTGGCAAATTACAAGGAGGAATATACCTTGACTGCTTGCAGCTATAACACTTACTTAAGAAACAAAATAAGTGGAGAAGACAAGATCACATTGAGTTACACATTTGTAATATAAGCAGCAGTATTGTAAGTCCCAAAATACAGAGGTCTAGCATCATAAATACATGCTTACAAAGAGACTGTCACAGTTTAGCATACGAAGATCATTATGCCTTTTCTAGTTTAATACAAGTTACATTCACATCCAAAGATAATTGAAAAGCTTAAGAACAAAGCTTTGCTGGACTGGAAGGCTGAGTTGGTTCAAATGAGCACTGTTTGTTGATTGTTGCTAATTCAAATTTTAATTTTGTTTGAAAATCTTTTGGTCTAAGAGAAAGAGATAGAAGACATTTCTTTAAACTGAAGTGAGCTCCCCTCTGAACCAACAGCAATTTGGCAAGGAAGATGAGCTGGCACATCAGAACACTCTTATTACTTCATGAAGACCAATAGCTTCTCTGTAAAAATATGCAAGGCCCTAATGCACTTTGACAAATGACAAAGGTTATTAAAGGACAGCTTGTGGGAGTATAATTGCTTTGTGACTTGATCACTATTAACAGAAAGAACATCGGTAGAGAGTTAACAGCATGAAACATGAGTACAGGAATCCACCAAGATCTTGACTCAGCAAAGCACATGAGGACATTAATTCCACTTCTGTATTACAAAACAATTAAGAACACGATTAAGTGCATGCTATATGACTGTCACTTAACTGGAGAGAAAAAAAATAGCCATCTTTTTAGGGGCCATGACAGTCTACATCATAGTATACATATATATATATACCATATAGATAATTAGTAATGCTATGCTAGTGTATGTTTTCTATAATGAAATAATCCTTACCAACTTTGCTGTAGTCTTTATACAGATTATGTTGAATAACTTGTAAGATGACTGAAAGTTTGCAAGGACTCCACAGCTCTGCCCAGAACATTCAGGGTCTCCCTACCCCACCCCAAAAAACCCAACATTTTCTATGTGCATCAGTTTCTCCATGTTTCTCAAAAATACTTACCAAAGCTGAGATGTAAATCAATTTATATTACAAGAGTTTAATGGTTTCAAAATAGGAGGAGGAGGAATACCAGAGAAAAATCTGACAAGGTTAAAAAGAAACTGGGGAAAGGTTGAGGCCTAACACATATTAAATAAAAATCAATCACAATGACGTTTCAAGAATTACAAAGTAAGATATAGCATACCACTGCTCAAAGTGAGGGGAAATTAGGGATAGGACTCCAAATCACATGGCAGCACTCGCTTTGTACAGAAATAAGATACCTTAACTCTTAATTCCCTGCAAATCAGTGACTCATGGCAAAGGCAAGGCAAGGGATTCGATGCATTGCACTGAACAAGCTCAGAATTTACCATGAGCCAGAAGCCCCTGCCTTGCTCAGGGGCAACCCTTCCACATACCAGATTTTGCTTTTGTGGGGACAGCTGCACCTTCCTTCTTATGTTTCTGCAGTGGCAAAACACTTCATACAAACTCATGGGAAGCATCTTGCCTGACACAACACAGAACTCCCAAGTTTCAAACTATTTTCTGAAAAGGCTGTGTCAGTGCAAACCTTGCTACTCCTCCACAGAACAGCATTAGCTGGAAAGGAAAATGCATACATGGTATATTCAGAAGGGTATATAAGAGAAAAAAAAATGTTTAAATACTTTATATCAAAGGTCCAATCTACACAACAGGGAAACAAAAATTTAAAAAACAAAGGATTGGTCATTTGGAACAGTCATCACAGTCAGCTTCATACTGTTGGCACAATTGTTGTACCATTGGTTTGAGAGGCTTTTTAGCATAGATGTGTTGCAAAAACAGCTATTTTTATGCCACTTTTCTTTTAGTGAACAGGGTGCACTGGGTCACCAGACGCTAGGCAGAGTGCAGTTGGCTAACTATTATCCACTCTGGAAGGAACAAGCAGCATTTATTAAGTGTCAGTTTAGACATCACCACAATTGGTTCTATGTATTTTGTATTTCCTTGGAGTTAAGAATTACAACAAATTGAAAGTACTTAATTAAACGGTCATAAAAGTCCACATTTTACCTAACTTCAAAGGAAAAGGTTTTACAAAGTTTATATCACTCTCTCTGGAATTATTTGTATCCCCAGCAGCCAACAGATGCTTGGTGCCCCAGCTCCCCCCGCCTCAGTTTCTCAGCCATGATACTGGGTTTTGGACTGAGAATTTTGCTGAAATGACAGTCTAAGACTTATTATAAGTCATCCCATCTTTCCAGCCATTCACATAACTAACCTGACCTCCTTTTCAGCCTTACTGTCTAGAATTATCTGTAAAACTAGTGTAAACTACCTAACTTACCCAGTTAGGTTTCTTTTTAACTGATTCAATGTTGGAACATTGTCTGTATTTTATTCACCTGCTTTCTTCTCTACTGCTGCAGAAAACGTCATCTCAACAGATACTGTGAGTGGTCATATCCAACACATTTGATAGTCAAAGTTCAGTTTAACTAAGTCAGATGTCCACAAATGGAATACTGTTTGAAATCAACCCAACTTTTAAGCAGACCCAACCCAACTTAGTAGATGCTGCTGCTACAGTTTGTCAGCAAAGGAAACTCACTACCTCTGAATGGAATTGGCAACAAAATGTTGTGGGAGCCAGAAAATCAGTATTAACTCTACTATATCTGGATATGGCCTCTAGTCTCACAGCAGAGATTATTCTTGCATTACATCAACCCACAAGAAGCAGCTATGCTTAAGGACTGAAGAAAATTTGTTTAACAACCATTCATAGCTAGCATCAATGCCAAGATCCCCAAAGACAGACAAAGTAGGAAAGGAAAAGCGGGGGTGGGGCAGTGGTGATAGAGGCAAGAAAAGTCTGAACCAATATTCCTTCAAGAACAATTCACTGATTCTTTATTTCAACACCATAAAAACCATCTTTCACAAAACAGATTTGCTTGGGTAATACATGGTGTCAGCATAAATCATATTTTCATCTTCTGTCAGTGCCAGCAGTTTTCTTGGACTTGTCTGAAGGAGGGCAGAAAGAAAAAAATTAAAAAAAAATAATAATAATAATAATAAAAAAAAAGACGAGCCAAAACCATCTTCCAGCTTTGACAGAAAAGGGTCTTTTTGTTCCTAAGACATTTGTCTTCACATAACCCACCAGCACCCTCCTGTAGGAGTCATGCAATGAAAAAGAATTACAAAGGCTTATCAAAATGCAAAGCCAGTATCAATATCAACTTTCTACTGTTTCCAAACATAAACTTCCTTTGTTGCAATCTTACTTCCTCTTCAGTGAAGTAAATTAATACTTGTTCACACTTAAAACAAGAATTAACTTCATCTATGCCAGGACATTGAGACCATTCAATAGAAGGACAGCACTTTGTGACAGAAGTCATGAACGGAAAGTAAGCCACATGTTAATATCAAAGACAAGCATTCAACCTCCTTTGCTTTTGACCCTTCTTTTTGGCTTTTATGACATTGTGTACTGCTTTTTGCTTCTTCTTAGTCAACTAATTATTATTTGTCCGCTGAATAAAAATTTGTTTTTATTCTGATTACAATTCTCCACAATGATCTCTGATTATTACACAGAAATAGTTTTGCAAGGCTATGATGGTTGATGAAGCATTCATGAGAAACAACAAGAAAACAGAAAAAAGCCCTTAACATAAGGATAAAGCTTAATACACTTTAAGATTTTTATTTCTGATGAGGCTCATGAATCATACTCATGAATTATAGTAAATACCATGGTATTTACCTTCCTCCTCTACAGATATATAAAACATACTTCATTTGTGTGCTTATGCAATACAATTCCTGAGCCTCCTAGTTTAAAGTTCATGACCATAACATGCACTTTTTTTATATTAGACCTATCAGCTTTAAGAAGGAGAGAATGCCAACATGCTAATTTTCCCTCACTAGTTTTCAAGTATGACTCTTCCGACACAGCAAGCAGACAGCAGATGCACCATCTACAACAGACACACAATAAAGCATAACACATACTTGTGAAGTTCTACCCTGATATACTGAAAGTAATCAATAAATGTCCCATGGACTTAAAGAAAAGGCAAAAGTACAATTATATGCTGTAGAAACATATGGTTGGTAGGCACTACATTATCATGTGAGATAAGATACCTGGAAGCAGAGGAAACATTTTTGCAGTCACACAGAACAGAAGAATTTGTGGAAATAAAGTGGAGGTCAACACAGCTGTCCATCACTGGGTCATCCAAGGTAGCAGTCAGGCAGCACAGGAGTGATTTGAGAAGAACTGAGTACAGAGCAATGGGAAAGGTTAGCAAAGTAGAGCAGCACAGAAGTTCCCTGTATTTGCAAACCAATATATCATCATAAAAACATATCAAACCAAACAAGTGAAATACCCACCCTGCACACTTCCAGTATCCCAGCATTCTGCAACTAAGCCTGCTAGAAATGAAGGCACAGGACAGAACCTATATATCAGGAGATCTCAAACTACCAAAGAAATACATAACAGAGCAAAACCAGTTCTGCAAGCTATTCAAAACTTAAGACTGTTCTTAGTTTGTGATTGAAATTTATATGTTGTAATTTCTCAGGCCTTAGGTTTCATTTTTCAAACATCCAAGGAAAAATAAAAACAACATTAGGCTCACATTAAATGGGTCCTCCACTAAGAAAAGCATTTCTATGAAAGGAAAATAAATATATATAGCCTGGATATAATAGTTACATGGACATTTTCTGTGACTTGTGATCAGTTATGAGTTTTAGGCTTAAACTGGACAAGCTTAAATCAGAATAGTAAATATTGCTCCTTTTAAATGGTAACTTTGACAACATCATAAAGCCACTAGGTAGACCCTTTACAACTACTGGATGCACCATCTGCATCCATGCTTGACTCAGAGAATTTATAAGGCATTATAGACAATTTCCACACCAAAACCAAAACAAATCCACTGAAAATAAGTATAAGAGGAAGCTATTTTTGAAACTTACCATCCAAGACATTTCCAGAAATTCTCAAGTGACTAATCATCAGTAAGGCTCTACATCCTTACATATTTCACCAGAAGACCTACATTCAACTTTACTGAAATTCCAACTTCACAATCTGTTTCCTCTTCCAGTAGCAATGTTTGCAACACCTAATTTGAAAGCTTCTGCTATTGTGTCTTGTATTTCAGAGATAACATGCTCAGGGTTTTTTAATAATAATTTCAGTTTAAAACAACTTTGAGATTCTTAACAAGAAGTCATCTAAAGGATGTCTAGAAGCATTAGGCAGGAAAAGAACCTGCTAACCACCACTGAGAATACTACTGAAATAATACCCAGAAATAAGAAATCACAACAAAGCAAAATTAGTATAGGCAGGGGGGTCTTGCTTTAAAGGCGATTTAGTCTTACAAAGTTCCTCAGGTTTGTTTATGCAGCTATCAATATATGGACAATGAACTTACTCAAGTAACCTACGCATATTTGGAGACTACTTTATTTTTTATATTAGTTGCATGCAGATGTGGATATAACTTTAAAAGCTTGTAATATTTTCATAAAAACGGGGAGACAAACTAAAATCTGTGATGATTAGTACTCCTCAGTACTATCAGACAAATGACTTCAATAGCTACTATTTCAATAGTTAGAAGGCAAGTTCAGAGTTGCAAACATCAGCATATAAATTTAATAAATATGTATGAGGAAGATGGATATGGAAAGAATACAAGATCAGAAGACAGAAAACTGTTTTGAAGCACTCCAATGAAGCATTGCAGTACTCAGAAAAGAAACTTTTATTTTTAAATAATCCCCCTCAATTGTCCTAAAATAATAGCACATAAAATGTTTGCAAACTAAGAAAAGCAGAACTCAGTACTTTGGATTTAAACATTAATCTCTGCTAATATAACGAAAGAAACGGTGTATAATCAGATTCCACCTGAAATCTCACCCAGATACAGAAAAAGAGCGACTACAGGTAATTTGTTATTAAAATAGCTTTAAGAGCACCCAAGCAACTAAAGTTAAAGACAAACAATAGGAATAAAGTTTAAAATGTTGTTTACATCCTGATTGGGCAGGAGGAGGGGGAAAGGTTGAATTATGTATCTCAGAGCAGTTTCATTAAAGTAATTCTAGTCTCAGACTACTGTCTTCTTCTCTGCTGAAATATAATCTGAAGAAGAAAAAGAAACTCATACTAGCACAACTGAAGTTTTTATAGGTCACATGGGATGCCTGCTGCCATGCACCAGATGTGAGTAAGAAAAAGAAAGTGGTCAACATATGATATTAAAACCCAGTTCAGTTTCAAATATTTTAAACATGATGTCAAGTGCATTCAACAGGTCTATGAATGCACTACATTAGCCTAAATTTAGTAGGTGATAATTGAAATCAGAGATCCAGTCATTACCACTGACATGTTTCTAAATACTACCCAATAAATTTTTGTCTGTTTCGGATTCTGTATGACAGCTGGCAGTCGGGAAGGGAATCACCCAGAGGGTATGAACACACACATATACAACATTTCTGTAGTCAAATTCCTGTTTCTTCCCTTTCTAGAGCTTATTTAACAGTGACAATACTGTCACACAAACACATACTCCTAAAACAGAATTCCACAAGCTGAATGTTTTCTCCAGTCTCTTCACAGCATCTTCCTGTAAGCACTGGGTATGAAACAGGACAGTAACTTAACTAACTCCAACTGTATGTCCTGCATATGAATTTTCATAACAAAATTAATTCAGTTCTGTTATAGAGATCAGCTCTGGTATTCCTAATTATCCTTCTTATCATCTCTTAATTTTTAGTTAAAGAAGGAAGAAAGTTCATAAGCAAGAGAAGATACAATCTTAGTCCACATCTTTTTTTGCTGTTACCTTTGTTATATCTACAGTTATATTGACCATTTAAGCAAAAGGAAACAAGAATTTCTTCTAAGTCTGCAATTCATCTTTCTTTTTAATCTCTGCTGTATCACCACCTTGTGATACATCTACTATCAGATAATAAAAAGTGCAGCCAAGTTACACATGAGAATAAACTATCTCTAGGATCACTTCAGAGTTGGTAGGTGGACAGGTGCCAGCCATTACTTGTCCCTCCATGCAGAAGTGGTTTATGCAACTTGGTATGAAGAGCTGATAATTTTATTTGGCATGTATAGTTAATCAGCAAGGCCTCCTCACAACTCAGTTCTGCCATCTGAAAAATGGAGGCAGCGCTGTCTTTCCACCTCTCAAAGGAAACTGAACTTCAAAGCATGATGAAAAACTGCCTGCGAAGAAATGCCTCGCAATTTATACACCAACAGCATGGCTTTTGACTGGAAATTTAAACATCTAGTTCGAACCAACAAAGGCTGGAAATGAGAGCAAAGCTTTCACTAAAACCTTACAGGTATCCAAGGCTCACAAACCTTTGTATACAAGCAGTAAATGCTAAATTTTCATGGATTATATTTTAAAATATTGCCTAGCAAAATTAATTCCAAAGAAGTTTGAAAAGACTAGCTTTTTTAATTAAAAAAAACCAACAAAAACAGGTAGGCCTTGAAGAGAAAAACCACCTACTGTCTTAATATTCTTTTCAGAGGAAATCTATTTACAGAGCAGAAATATTTCTATCCAAATACTTTAAACTAGAGGAAGCTGCACACTACTTATTCTTAGCTTTTTAGACCCTAAGACACAGAAGAGTCATAAAATTACTAGCATCTACTAGAAGTATTAAACTCTTTTACTGGTCTCAATAATTAAAGCAAGAGAATATCAGTTTGGTATTTTTTCTGATATTCCATTAGTTGCTAAAAGCAAGTTTAAAAAAAAATGAAAAAAAGAAACCACAAATCCTAAAAAGTTATGAATGACAATTCTACCTATATTAAGTAGTATCATAACTCAGAACATCTCAGATTTACTATATTGACAGCTCTATTTAAAATGCAAAACCCAAGTAACTTCAAAATTAAGACTTTCAATAAATTGTTGTTCAGAGACATCCATCTTGAAACTTCAGCTTAGCCAGCCCACAGATCTAGAGTTAGTCCTTCACCAGATCTTGTCAACACAGCCCTCAAAATGCCTGAAGTTCAGACAAGGTCATTCAGAACCCAAGTGACAGGTCATTTGGGAAGGAGAGGGTTACTGTGTGAGTGTCCTGTACAGCACAGGGTTGATTATAAGAGCTGCTGAAGATAAAAGTGCCAATCTGCCTTTCTTATGACTTTGGATATAAAGTAAAAAGTAAAACGGCAGCCTTTTATGACATTTTAATTCTATTCCCCCTTTCCACCACCTCCATTAAAACATTTTCCTCCTCTCTTTTGTGCTATCCAAGATTAAAAAGTCATTTATTGCAATAAAGGGATTTAGTGATTTGGGAGTAACTTTTATGTACTGTACACCCTCTAGACATCCTGAAACTATGTTAATAATTTTCTTCCTATTAATTGTCTCATCAACTCACAGCTGGCTATGCTTTTTATTTCATTATGTTATTCATCAATCTAAAATAGACCTATAACAGAAAAAGAAATTGGAACGGAGCAATTTCAATATTTCAAAACAGATGCAAATCAACACTAGAGATGCTACACAGCATATTTTTATTGAGACAATTCTATACATGTTTGAAAAATGAACTTGTAATAAACTCATATCCTGTGAAGATATGTTTTTCTTTCCATCTTATGAGCTAATTATGCCAACACAACATAACATTTTCCTAAATGCCTTATAAACTGACCCAGTTACTCAGAAAGTATTATTTTTAAATTGATGTGATAGATGCAAACTGGAACGTTCGGATTTCAATTCTGGCACCAATTCCCAGATCCCCTTCCCAAGTAATTTAAGGACTTCCTCCCAATAGTTTTTCATATTCTTTTAACTGACATTTTATCTTTATACAGTATCTCAGCAGAATGAACATGCACTAAAACAATGACAGCCCTTCTCTGGCTGTCATCTCTCATTCTGGCAAAGACAGATGTCTTACACTGGCTTATGCCAATAATAGAGCCGACAAAAAACAACAGAGACTACCTGCCTCTGATGTAAAGGCACCAATTCACATTTGTGACACTCATTTGTCAATTAACAGATTTCTTCCATTGTTGACACATGGGACTTAAAAGATGTGGGCTAGAATGTGATGAATTAAAAAAGACAGATGAGTAAGCTATGAGCTGCAAAGTAATACTATAATGTGCTTTAGATAGGAATATCAACTGACACCCCTGACAGGCCATACAAGGTTTTATTTCATTTTGCTCTGTATCTAGGCTTCATACTTTGTCTTCTTTGTTCTCTTTTCATCAAGCTCCTAACATCTCATTCTGACAGCCAGAGACATTTAAGGCACTTTCGTTTCAAATGCAAGTTAGCATACTTGATTTGTCATTAAAATGCAAAACGATTGCCATTGCAGGTAAATGTAGGTATGCTTAAAAGGTTGTATCTGAAAAGTAAAAGCTGAAAACCGTTTCTGGCTGCTTTGCTTAACTCTTTCACAAGCCTCAGAGTTTTTACAATGCAAGTGTTACCATGCTGTAATAGAAGTGTAGCAGCACCTGCAGTTTGATACAAGGTACATTTTAGTATATTTAAATAACATAGAGTCTAAAAGTTACAATGCGAGAGGCACTGTCAAGTTTGCACATGGAGCCTTAGTATTAGTTACACGAATCTGAAAATAGTCCATCATGTAAAGCTTTACGTGGGTTCAAAGCTCTCTACTACACAGACACCAACAAGAAAAAAAGGGGGAGATCTGTTTACTCTTTTTAATACACTCGTTCTGGTTGAATTAGCTGAAATCACCAGAGAGGTAATTTCATCAGCAATTTGCTTTCTAATCCAATGCTCACTTTAAGAGAGATGAGTGCCTTAACATAAATAATTAATTAATTACATACATACATACATACATACATACATACATACATCAAGTGCTCTGTAGCAAAAGACAAGGAGAGATTTTAAAATTTTGCAGAGAAAGAGACTTGCACAAGGTGGGCATAAGTAACACCTTTCTACATAATATGCATAGATGTGAATGCACTCTACAGCACAAATAAGGTTTTGTTCATGATACAAAACCTAGTGAAAAGAAGTATCTATTATTTTCTGCAAGTGGTTTGAAAAGAACAAATACACAATTTAATTGAGCAAATTTCTTGATACAGAGGTTAAGTTCAGATATTTGACTTTAGGAACTTACAGAGAAACCCTTATCCTAAATTTGTACCTACATCTCTTTTTTGCAGACTTTCTTGTGTTTTTTTACTAGGGAAAAGAGAGGTGTGAATGAGGTTTCACTCTATTTACTCGGGTGCAGAAGTCACTGCACTAGGAAACTTTTCCCCTAGTTTTGTTTTTCCTCTAAGAATGAGAATTGTATGGAAATATGCAGTCAGGGAGTCATTCAGAAAATGTGGTTTAGATTATGACATCATAATGCATTGAATATAAGGTAGAGAACCTGAAACATTCGATGCTTCTGTGTATAGAATGAAGCTTACTGACCATTTCTGATGCTATTCTGCCTACTAAGGTGTATCTGCTACAATACAGAAATTATTTATTCATTCCATGTTATAGGATAGTAATAGGCTATGCTGTAAATAGAAATAACAACTTCACAGCTAATAGCTGTCTTGATGGGTTTCTACTGCTACTTCTTCTACCCACACTAAATGCTTCCAGTATACGTATGTCCCCACACAGAAAGAAAATAAGAAAAAAAAAGTGCAAGATTATCTTAAAGCTGACTTAACCATTTCACTAGGTTTTAAAATACTAGGACTACAGCAACCAAGACTTTCATATGCTATACTAAAACACACAAAGAAACATTTGCCCATTCACTTTTAGCTCAATACAGACATTTGTTCTCTCTTCCTCCATTGACCAATTACTAGGAAGTGAGACAAAATCTACAGTAATGCATTTGTCTCCTTAATTTTAGAAACTTCTTCTGCTCAATCATCTGAATGCAGGTGAACCTCTTGTTTCAAACCACCTCTGGCTGCAGAGTCTATAATCCAGTCACAAAGTAGTGGCCCACATTAAATGGGTTGAGATAGATTCTCATTAGAAGTACATCCACATTTCAAAAGCCTTTTTATTAGTGATAGTAAGAGACTATTTGATAAGGCTTATTTAAAGGAAGCCAAAGTATTGACAGTGATAGAAACTGAACTGTCCTCTGACATTCCCCACTTGGCAGATAATTTACTAATTGTGCACCTGGTAGAACTAGAACCTCTACTGTACATGAGCAGAGCGAATGGCTGGCTCCCATTAGAAGCAACACAGGGAACAAAAGAGAGACCACTGGCAAGAAAGCAGGAACCTCATGTTGCACCTGCACCCAAACTCTCAGCAGCACCTTCTGCAGCCTCCTGCTGTTTAAGGCAGTGGGGAGAAAAGGCAGCACAGAGTGAGGGAAGAAAGCAAACTAGACACACACACAGCCTCTCACTCAGTTGGCTTAGTTTCCTTTCCTAGAAAACAAAGTACTTGACAATTTTTCCCAGAGCAATTCCAGTACAATCACCTTCACATATGATAGTTTCTGTGCTATTCCAAAGCACTTCACTGTCCAAGATACAGAGTGTATTAAGTGCAAGATAATAGGTAGAACGTGTTCAGATCCTTGAACAGCTGTGATTTGAACATTCACACACTGGACTGTCAAATTATCTTAACATAACTATGTTGGAAGCAGAGTTTTACAAATATTCAATATACTGTTAATCCTTGGCCTGTCTAGAACATTTTTTCTTCAGCCTTTAAGTGCTTTAGAATAATCACTACACTTTATCACTTAAGTAACTAGGTCAACAATGGTAAGTTTTTCTTATCTCTTCAACTAAAATGTCTTGAAAGTCCTGGGAATCTAAAATACAGCATCCTCATCCAGTGCTCTTGTGGCCACATGGCCTTGAAGAGCCATGGCACTTCAGCAAGTCTTGGACCTTACGCATCTCAAATGGTTCAAGGACAGTTCTGCTGCATTTTCTTGCACTTTAAGAGATTTTACATTGAAGAGATTGAGTGGTTTCTTGCAAGCAATCTCTAAGTAATATGTTCCTTCCTTCAAGGTTATAAGTGAAAAGGTTATCACTGACAAAGTCTTACCACAAGTGCTTAATCAAAGTAGAAAAATACTTGAGCATCACCCCTAAGTTTATAAGGATTAAAAATATAATTCATATACCATACTTTCATATAAAGGAAATATGCATACATCCTAAAGATCTTTATTTATAAGATGTTATTTTGTGTGTGTGTGTCTCTGTGTGTGCATTAAATGTTAGTAAGCTGTCAGCAGCAGCCAACACAGACTATGCTTTCTATGAAAAAAATGAGCTGGCCTAGTGCATACATCCAAGTATTACTATCCGCCAATACAGCTCATGTACCAACTGCACAGGAAAAACAGCACCTAAAGAGAAGTATTTGCCCAATCTGCAAGACCCTATCAACCCCCCTGACTTTTGGACTGATTAAACTACCCCTGAACATTAGATATTTTGCATTTTTTACTTGTGTTCTTTTAAAACTTATTTCTACCACTGTAGTCTCTCACCATAGCAAGGTTTCCTACAAACACGAGCAATAAGAATGGCTGTATTATATAAAGAACATTCACCACTTCCATTTACAGACTCATCAGGCAAATTAAATTGAAAAGACAAAATAAAGTATTAAGAAAGGAAATAATCTTACAGCCCTACCAGTGAGCAACTCACTCAGGCAAGCATCATCAAAAGGAAAGACCAGGAGAAACAAAACAAAAATATAAATAAAAATTATGAAATGTCACATAATTGCAAGCATCAGTTCATGGGTAAAGCCTGCAACTGAGCTATAATACTGCATTAACCATGACCCTAAGGACAGTATAATTATTGTATAGCATGTCGGGTTTGACATGCTGAATCCAGAGCCTGAGAAAAATACATGGCCCTTTTGCACTTCTACGCTCCTCACTCTTCACGCTTGCACGAGCTAAGGGTTTGGAGATGGTCCTTTTAACCTGAAAAATCAACTCCAAGATAATTTATGTAAAGATGATCTATGTAAAATGCAGGATCTCAAAAATGACACAAACCATGCAAGACCACATAAAACAAACAAGTGATGCATAAACAGAAGCTCCATAAGGATTTTCCTGCCAAATGCCAAGTAACTTTTTGTACCATGACCACCAGCAGGTTTGTTGAACACTGGAGGACCTAGGCCCTCCTTAGTGATTGGAATCGGCAAAACCACTTAAGTTCTTCACATCTGCAACTATATGCTGAGAATCTTTTATGTTGTGTTAAGGTGAGAAGAAGATAACCTTTCAACAAAACAGAGAGGCAAAGACAGAGACAATAATCCCAGGGTTAATGCACGTTCTTCCCTTCAGCCAAGCTCCTTGTCCTCAGACAACAGTTATTTCTGCAGTCCTTCGCTCTTGCTTCACAACAGCAATGAAGAGGAAATACTGTTTTAGAGTGAGAGAGATTAAGGAAGTCAGAAAGTAATAATGATACATCTGATTAACACGTGCTCTTTATCATGCCCTTTTCTTTAACCCCTGATGCTCTTGGAAAAAAGTACTTTTCAGTCTTAAAATCCAGATAATCATGGACTATGCAGGAGCAGTCACCAAGATATTATTTTCAATCTACTGACATTCTTTGAAAACTAAAACAAGTACATCAAACTATTCCTCTTCCAAATGCCAATACTATCCATAGATTGTGATAGTCTTCCATTTATTACCTGATATTCTCTCAATCTAACAGATTCCTACTGTTTAGAACAGAATTCAAAACAAAAACTGATTTTAGTTTAAGACTGGTTACAGTTTTCACAAGAGGAGTTGGATTGACTGTGCCAGTGAATTAAGGGCTCTGGGTACCCAAAGAACAGCTGCAGATTGTGTAGGTTTAGCCTCCAACATCACTTCAAAATCCATCTTCAATCTCATACAGAAATCAGATCAAGAAGAAGCAGTTCAATCCCTACACATGCAAACATGAAGAAAATTATGTGATGCAAACACCAGTTCACTGGGAAATACTCTGCCTCAGTCAAAAGGTTTTGCCAACAGCCTTGAGTCAATGAATGCTTAATAGGAAATCCTGTCTCTGTTCAAGTTCCAGTCTGTCACTCATCTTTGTTCAGAAGTATACTACAGATTTCATCTTTACTCATAATTGCAACAGACCTTTAGATAGGGATGTCCCCACAAAAATGTCTTTCACCAACCAGCATAGCAATATTCACCAGTTACAATTAAGAATGCAACAATCAAAGCTCATAACCTGATTTTAACTTAATGTCAAATTGTGCTGTTTAATTTTTTTACCAGATTTCAAGTTCTAGCAATCCTCACAAGAATTCTCCCCTACACAATATGAACCTACACTGTCCCCCAAGCCAAAGGTTCAGGTAAAAATTTTTTGCCTAATTCTACCACATGATGCACCCTCAAGACAACTCTTTCCACAGTGTTAAGCCTTCCTGAGGAAAGCATAAGAGAAAACAATCTTGTGTTCTGATCTGTCAGGTACTGTAAATCAATGGATAATGGCCAGCACAGGGGGTCAGGGGTATATATACTACAGTGTTTTCACAGTCTGTTAGTGTCTATGTGGCCATAAAAAGTCAAGCAAGGATCAATGGACAAAAAGAGAGGCTGCTGGGACTAAAGAAGGTAACAGCCACCCATACAGAAATACAACAATTTATATTACTTATTACTTATGTATTACTGAGTTTGGAAAAATAACTTTTCCATTAAAAAGTACAGCTTACATCCATGGCATAGAATGCTGAAATCAGTGCAATATTTAAATGCATACCATAACCCATTAATTTGATATTTTTAACAATAGTCATTGACTGGTCCCCTTTGTATCAACAATAAGCCAATGACCACAATTAAGACACAGCAGGAAAATACACGAGTCACAAAAACACACACAGATAATACTTTGTAGTGGCAAATATTCAGTAATCACATTTAAAGTTGACAAAACAACAGAACACAGGCATGGCTATTGCATGCGAGACAAGGCGTATCTTAACATTTTTAATATTTTCAAATTTTAAGGTGAGGGAGAAAAGTTTTCCTTATATATTAGCCAGATCACACCTGCTTCCTGTTGAAATGCCACTTTTTAAAAGAGGGTGGCATGGTGGGTGGGAAAAAGAAGGGAAGAAGAGAGCAAGGAGTAGATTTTGTTTGATATCTATCAACTACCAAAAGTAGAGTTAATAGCTGAAGTTTGTAATTGTTTTTGTTACTGGTAATACTCTCCTAGTTTTCCAATAGTTTTACATCTATAAAACTTTATCTTATACGACTCCCTAGGTATTACCCATGTAGAAAAATATCATATATCAACATACTTGTCTTCAGTCCATCTAGTACAACAAGAAGTTATTTTAGAAGATAATTACACAAAAGTTAGTCCACAAGGATTAATAAACATGTAAGACTTCAACAAAAATACTATTATATCTGTAAATAATTTCAGTGATTCCCTGTGTATAAATATTTAATTCAGTAAAATTATTCTAGAAGCTGAATTGCTT